GAATTTCAGGTTGATTGTTTGACTTAATACAATCATTCCTGTCAAACCGTGAATTGAAGGTCGTTCTCAATGGATTCTCATCCAGCTTCTATCCCATGAACACGGGTGTTCCTCAAGGCTCCATCCTAGGCCCTACTCTGTTCCTTATCTTCATTAACGATCTTCCTGATGTCATAGGTTCCCAAGTAGGCATCTATGTGGACGACACTACAATTTACTCCTGTCTCAAAAACAAATCTAGTGTTGTTGATAAAACTAACCTGGTCATTTGTCTTGAAAAGGACCTCCAATTGATTGTGAATTGGGGCAAGAATTGGCTGGTTAACTTTAACACCTCAAAAAGGAAACTGCTCTCTATTACTCACCACAGAGAACCATCCCTGCACCCCCCCCCATTAGAATGTCTGACGCTCAACTTCTCACGAGCACCTCTTTGCAACTATACAGCCTCACATTGACTGCTGACCTGAAATGGAACAAATACATTGAGTCAATAGCTTCGTCCACTGCAAGGAAAATTAGCTCCCTGTGCCATACCAGGAAATTTTTCTCACCATAGTCAATCCTTCAAATCTATAAATCAACCATTCACTCTTGCATGGAGGATTGCTGCCATATATTGTCTGGTGCCCCTTATGTTTGTCTCAAGGTTCTTGATAAGATCCAGAGACGAATATGCAACGTAATTAGCGCTGATCTGGCATCTCATCTGCAGTTTCTCTCCCACAGACGTGCCTTCACCTCCCTCTTTCTTTTTTACAAATACTTTCACAATGAGCTGCTTTTTCTGGTTCCCAGAATTTATGAATTTAAGCGCTCAACTAGGCTGGCATCTTGCTCTCATTCTTTCACTGTCAAAACTGCTAAATTTAACCATCTCATCTACTCCAATAGCTTCATATCTCACACTTCTCGCGTGTGGAACTCCCTCCCCTCTTCCTGTTTCCTTGATAGCTATAATATCCAACTATTCAAATGTAATGTCAATCAACGTCTCCAGATGCCCTGGTCTATCCTCTATCCTCCTCTTCATCCTTTCCTCTATCACTCCTATTTGCTCTAGCTCCAACTCTCTGTAACCCCTTGCCTGCTAGTTGCTTCCCACCTTGCTTGGTGTGAAATGCTTAAAAAAAAAAATATATATATATACACTACATATATGTTTTTTTTGTTTTTTGTTTTGTTTTTTTTTAACACACTAATGCACTATTACCTGCATATATTTTATGCTGTGCTTCCTTGATATATGAAAGTTACTTAATGTATTCCTTCAGACTGAAAAGCTTAAGAAATGCCGGCAGATACAAAAACAAAAAACAGGTGATGTGGAAATATTTATCATATTTGTGCACCAAATCTCAAGCCAATATTTTAAAGTAAAATGGCTTCATCTACCTAAAAGCCGAACACAACCCAATTTTCTCCTCTGCACTGAAAACCATTTCACTCTGTGCAAGCTTTGAAAACACAAGAGCACTTTCAAACAGAGCACTGGTTATAAAAATGTTCTCAGTGCACTTTGCATTCAGTTTGGTGAATATCTCCAAATTAAAAATAGTGTACAGATCAATTTTCCTCAGTCACTTCCAAATTTGTCTCAAAGCATTTTAGGATTGCTTGATGAACCAATTGCTAAATGAGCTGGTTTACGAGGAGAGTTGAACCCTGACTGCCATTTCAAGTATACTACCTATCCTGGGTATGACAATAAACTACATCTGGCAGCAAGGCCTCTGATCAGGAGGTTTTGAGGAGTGTGAAACAACCTCTTAATTACTGTTATTAACAGGTCCACCCTGACCTGGGTGGTAGCACTTGTTTGGGTCCCAGTTGTGGGCAAATAGTTAGCCCCCCCCCCGGAAATAACTGGCATGAAAACACCATGAAAGTATAAAAATAGAATTTTATAGTAAAAAAAAAAATACGTTTTTGATAAAAAAAATTACCAGCAATACATTTGACTCTTGACAAAATCTCTCTTTAGAAATTTCATCAATGAAACCTGATCTATAAACTGATTTCTTACAAAGAATACATATTCTATTCATACAAATCTATCCTAAAAATCTTGTCGTCATTAAATAACCCATTGAGGTTGATATTCCGTAAAACAAAATAAACCAAATCAATCTAAACAAAAGAATACATATTCTATTCATACGAATCTATCCTAAAAATCTTGTCGTCATTAAATAACCCATTGAGGTTGATATGCCGTAAAAACAAAATAAACCAAATCAATCTAAACAAAAGAATACATATTCTATTCATACGAATCTATCCTAAAAATCTTGTCGTCATTAAATAACCCATTGAGGTTGATATGCCGTAAAACAAAATAAACCAAATCAATCTAAACAAAAGAATACATATTCTATTCATACGAATCTATCCTAAAAATCTTGCTGGCATTAAATAACCCATTGAGGTTGATATGCCGTAAAACAAAATAAACCAGCAATACATTTGACTCTTGACCAAATCTCTCTTTAGAAATTTCATCAATGAAACCTGATCTATAAACTGATTTCTTACAAAGAATACATTCTTTTCATATGAACCTGTCTTAAAAATTTTGTCGACATTAAATAACCCATTGAGGTTGATATGCTGTAAAACAAACCAAATATACTGCACATTTAATGGATTAGTTTCAACTAGCTTCAGATAATCTTGATTTTTATCAATTTCTTTCATAATCTTTTCACCCTGAGCAAGCCAATGAGGACAGGCTGTCATGCTTTATAACATAAAAAGTTAAAAATAAGCAAGAGCAAGTCCCAAAATGTTCCAGAAAATGTTCACAAACTAAGAATTAGGGTTGACAAACAAGCAAATTCAGATAAATGAATGTAGCATTCTGACTTCAATATAAGACAGATCAGGACCAAGTCATATGAAACAGAACTGGCTTATTTTATTGGTTCAGAAGAACTCCCAGCATGCATTTGAATACTCCTGCCAATAAAGTGAGGAGGGGGGAGTATTTTGCAGTCACTCCCACTTGGATTGGAACCAATAGTTTCTAGGGAAGTTCATTAGTCTGTTGCCTCAGGTCTCCTCTTCATCCATGAAGAGACTATCCAGCATTCATTGCCATAGAGGAGATTAGATATTACATAGCAGCCCAACACTCTTTTCTTTGTTTCTAAGGACATTCATCAATAGAATCACATTTCTGTTACCTCAAATGTCTTCATCAGAGGTGATTATCCAAAATTAACTGCCATCTCTGTAGCTTCAAGTATCTTTTCCATCTGTGAAGATTATCTGGCATTCACTGCCATATTGAATGACTCATATTGCTTAAAAGTTGAGTACACTGTTCTGTATTTCTAATAAAATTTTCCTATTTCTTCTTACTTGCCTGACTTTTGGAAAGTCAGTCAGTTATGTGCCATGAAGGATACATGCATAGGCGATCATATATCTTATGACTGACAAGACAATTTTTTTTCCCACAGTAGCTCACCATTTCTTTCTAGAAATTTCTTGTAGACCAGTTGCCATCCAAGGCTCTAAAATCCTGTCTGTCCTGCTATTTACCCATAGCTGGTGGGTGTAGAGGAGGATTTATACCTTTCCCAAGGGTATTAGCATGTAAGTGGATGTAATGGATTCAAATGAAATTCGTACTCTGCTCTCCAATTCCTCAGTCTGAGCTGTTATCTGCAGTTCTAATGTGTCTTTGGATTTCAGTGTCGCATTTTCCATTCTCTGTTAGAATACTTCCTAGAGTTGTGATAAAAAGCAGTTGATCATACTTATTATAAAACACAGGTTGTGTGTGTGTGTGTGTGTCTATACGTTTATATATTGGATTGGATTTCCTACATTTTTCAATCAATTTCAACAAAACTTCACAGGACTACGTAAAATTACTTTGCAGTGGTTCTGACAGCACCAAAAATTGGAAAACACAATTGTTTTTGCACAAAATCAATTTGAAAACAGGATTAAGAGGCATCGCTGTCATGAGAATGAAAGGGGGACAACTCATATCGAGTTATACTTATTATAAAACCCAGGTTATTTTTTTGTGTGTGTGTGTATGTTCGCTTATATATGGGATCGGATTTCCTACATTTTTCAACCGATTTCAACAAAATTTCACTTTTTTTTTTCTTTTTGGCAGATAGTGTTTCTTATTGTCTTGCACACTTTTTTCTTTATTTTTACATTCAGAATGCTTTAAAAATTCCATTTACAAGAAAATTGTTTATAATAAAATTCTATTCAATCAGTAAAATCATAACAATTGAAAACAATGTTTTTGTTTGAGTTTGGGTTTGACCAATTCATTAAAAAAAAAAATAAAACTAATTAAGACATGCGTGTCCATCAACCTTAAACAATAATCTTTGTCAATTTTATATTTCAGTCTTTATGATGGTCGATACTTGATCTATCTCTTACTGTTACGTCCCCGGGCAACGCCGGGCTCTACTGCTAGTATAAAGATAAATTTATAATGGTTAACAATGCCTTATCTAATAAAAATTCAAGGTAATATTATTAATATTACTAATAGAAAAATCAATTGACATTAAGATGAATGGAATACTAGACAAAAATTAATAAATGCTGACATGTATAAAAATTCAAGAAGATATGATGATTTGTTTACTATTCTGTTATGATGACTGTAGACTAATGGTCAAAGATTAATGATGGCTGACATTGCTTCATCTAATGACAACCAAATTATAATAATAGTTCGGATTGTTCAAGGATTCTTCTCTGCTTATTCTACTTATTTTCTTATTATGAAAACTCAGATAAACAACTCTGTAATAGTCCTGGAAAGAAAGTTTTGTGTGGTTATACTTAATAAAAATTAGAAATCAGCAGCAGCCGAACTGAACTGGAAAATTCTCCAAGGGTTACACATTTTTACCAATATTGCACAAACACAACTTGTGCTCAAATGTGCTGTTTTTGCTGCATTACAGACATTTAAATGTCTTATTTATCACTTACTACTTTGTTTTTTTTTTCAGCACCAAGAGTTGATAATGCCATGCTTTTGACACCCCTGGAAGGTCTGTGTGGTTCTTCTCTGCCTGTAGAGAGAGTATACAAAACATCCAAAAATTATATCACAATTCAGTTCAAGACAGGAGATTCTACATACAATTCAAGATATGAAGGTTTTGAAATACGGGTCACTCAAAATCCGTGGTCAAATCCAGGAAATGCCAAGGTTGTTGGTTTCAATCCAGGAGGTAAGTAAAGTTCTATCTTGAAGCATTTGGATCACTATTGTAATTTGCCATGTACAGTGTGCGATGGATAAATTGTCTAAATTACACAAAAATGAAAATAACACTGACATCTCATTTTAATAGATATATTTACCAAAATTACACAAAAATATTTTGAAATACTAAAGAGTAAGTTTATTCAATAAAATTGTCATTGGCTTCAACCGCAGCCTTCATATGACTTTAGAATTTCTTGCAACTCTTCTGGTGGGGGGGCCTTGTTTAAGTTGGTGAATGCTGCCATAATCCTTGCCTTCACCTTTGATGTTACAAGGAGTTTTGTTGATTTCTCACTCAAGTGCACCCCACACATAATAATCAAGGGGATTGCAATCTGGGTAGCTAGGTGGCCAGATGTAAGGGATGATTTGGTTGCAAAAACTGTCTGACAGCCAGGACTGGGTTCTCCTGCTTGTGTGGCATGGTGCAGAGTCTTGTTGCCAGACGTAGGGTCTTCCAGCACCCACCCTCTTGATCCACCTCCTCAAGGCTCTTTATATAGGTCTCTGTGTTGTGTCTGAGGCTCCCACCAACAAATTTGGGAGTTCTTTCCTCATGCAAGAGTGAGTTTTCTGACCTGCTGTACTTTTGTAATTACCATAAAACTCATCTAACTATTTCCGAATCCTCTGCACTGTCCTCAGATTGACACCCAAATAATCTGAAATGTTCATATTGGAGCTTTTGATGCAAATACCAAGCAGTACAGCATGCCATTTCCAAATTTCTGGCAGAGTGAATTGTGTCATAGTGCTCTTTTTCTTGCAGACAGTGCCCAACTGACCCTACTATGCTGTGCAGTTAACAAAATCAAAAACAAACAATGCACATATCAAAGAGTACAATAAAAATAACAGTTGCTGATGTACAAAATTTCTGAGGTGTGAGTAATATATTATATATAATATCATTACATATTATAGAGCCAAGAAGAAGTGGTTACATGCCTCCCACTAGACCCAAGAATATTAATGCAAATTAAACTCTTCTGGTGTCTTTCATTGTACACAGCAACTTTAAATTTCAAACTGACCCTTTATTCAATCCACAAGGTAGATTGTTCTTGTCTAGATTTCCATGCTTAATGAATCTTTTGTATCAGTTAATATACACCAGACTTTGTATCACTAAACTTTCAGTACTACCAGATCCAGGAATTGAACTCTCATTTGACAAGGAACCAAATATGTTTTAATCAAAACATGAATCCACTAGGCCTGGTGTCTCTCAGCCACTGATCATCAAAGCAACGATTTTCCATGAAACAAAAGTAAAATTTGACTTGTCAAAGAGTGCAATAAAAACAATCACTCTTGTATCTTTTCATCTTCTCTGAGCATTGGTATAAACATTGGTTTTAGACTCACAATGCTTCGACCATTCTATTCTATAACTTTCATTAGATGACTGTCATTATACTTGATGAGTTTCTCAGAATTTTGAATCGAAACACTTATTTAATCCATACTTAAGGGAAGGATTGTCCTCACTTCACTTTCCATGCTTAGGAAACCTTTTATATCAGTTAATACTCGAGTTTTATTCACCTTTGTGTTGCTTCTCCTTATCTTCCACTAATCCAGAGTATGTGATTTTTCAGCCCTGCCCGACCCAGAGATTGAACCGACAACAGCCAGTATAGCAAGCAAGATGAACATGCTGGTCTCCTTCCAATTTCTATGCTTAGGGGATATTTCGTATTGGTTAATAGTCACCAGTCTTATTTACTGTTTTGTTGCTTGCCTGTTTCTTCCACTGAACTAAAATATCTGACTTTTCAGCCCTACCCGACCCAGAGATTGAACTGACAACAGACAGTATAGCAAGCAAGATGAACATGCAGGACTCCTTCCAATTTCCATGCTTAGAGGAAATTTCATGTCAGTTAATAGTCACTAGTCATGTTCGTTTCTTCCACTGAACCACATCTGACTTTTCAACACTACCAAATACAGGAACTGACCTCGAGGAACCAAATGTTTTAATCAATAGCTTAATCTATTTGTCCTTGTGTTTATTGATCTCTGAAGTATTGATTTCGCATGAAACGAGTGAAATTTAAATATTACACAAGCATTTTATTCTTTTTGTCCTGTTAGATGATTGAATCTAGAAAAAAAATTGTTTGATGTGCAGTAAGTGGATATTAAGGAATCTTTCACTGCTGTCCATCTCAAAAATGGATATCATGACAGTTTCATCAATGTCGTTATTGTTATGTCATCGTCTAATTATCCTATCCTTCATGTTGTCTTTCACGCCATCCAATGTGCTGATAATGCAGCATTTTTTAAATTACTTCAGCAGTTTTAGGGATGCTCTACTAGGCTTCCTGTATCTGTGTACATGTAACAGAAAGCTCTGGTTATTGAATGTTGTGTCCCAGCTGAGCTTCGAAACTACACATACAAGACAACTGGATATCAGGAAGTTATATAAATGACCACCTTATGAGAGGACGAAAGAAGCCCCCACACCTTCACAAGAAAAAGATTGAAAGTTTGTAGAAAGACCTAAAACCACATACCCTTGATCAGATAATGTTAATTTGACAGTCCTAATATGAATAAACAATAATTTTATCCAAGAAAGATTGTCTTGTATTCTTATGAAATGTTACTAACATAACATTTCACAAGCATTTATTTTTAAATATACACCGAGATATTAAATAAACATTGACTTTTTTAAACACTATTTTTTTTTTTCAGCTTTAGTTTTTTTTTTTTAATTTTTTCTTTCCTTTACAACTTTTTATTTTTCTTACAACTTTTTTTTATTTCTTTTACAACTTGAATTTCTTTCAACTTTTTGTAACTCTTTTAGGATGGAATGATGGTTTAAGTTCATCTTTCCAATGGACATGGAATCTTCAAGTCCGAGTTCCTGGTGCCCTTCGACGACCGGGCCAAAATCTAGAGAAAAGTCCAACTGGCACTGATTGTGTTGAGTGTTATGGCTGTTCAGTTCATGAATTTGACTTGGACAGAGATGCTTACGCCATTACCAGAGGCTGCTTCATGTGTGCTAAAATTTGGAATGCAGGTAAGTCTAAGATCTAAATCAAATATTAACCACCTGTCTCTAGTTGTTCACTGATAGTAACACCCCAGAATCTATCATGTCACCCACTATTCCATCAGATTAACCTCAGTTCGAACAGTCATTTGGAATACCACAATCGTTTTGGTAGGTATTAGGTATTTATTTCACCAGGATTACATACGGTTTTAGGTTCAGAGTTGTTCTTCTCCTTGATTGGATTTCTCCTTAGGAATTTTGTGACAAGTATTTATATACAAGAGCAGAAATATTTTTGTTTTTATAAAAAATATTTGAGTTTAGGAATTTTCATAATTATTTCTCGCATCTGGTTAGCAGAAAAAGCAGGCAAGTACATGGATATGAGATGATACAATTCAATGCCTAATAAAGTAAATAGTGTATATATGTATGTATGTATATATATTTATATATGTATGTATGTATGTATGTATATATATTTATATATGTATGTATGTATGTATATATATTTATATATGTATGTATGTATGTATATATATTTATATATGTATGTATATATGTATATATATTTATATATGTAGGTATATATATATGTATGTATGTATATATATATATATATATTTATATATGTATGTATATATATTTATATATGTAGGTATATATATTTATATATGTAGGTATATATATATATTATTTTATATTATTTTATATTCAGATAAGTTTCTTTTCAAA